CATGCGAAATTGCGACTGGAGGCAGTGGGGGGGGGGATAAGGCTTCCAGGGGTGGGTTTCTGTGGCTGCTGCTTGCTTCCCTCCCCCCGCTGCCCGCGTCGTTCCAAACCTGGCTCTGCAGAACTGGGAGTGTTCAATCAGCCTTCCCGGCTAGGTGGGGTTGCAAGTTGATTGCGGTCCGGCCGTGGCTCTTCGGCGTGCGGGGGTGGGAGTGGGGCGGCAGGCAGGCAGGAGTGCGCCCCCCCACTCCCTCTCCAAAGAAACCCCCTCCACCTGGCAATCACCTGAGAGGGCGCCCCGCCGCCCCGCCTGCGGCAGCCACCCTCTCCCCACCTCACCCCTGCAATGCCGCCACTGCCCGCTCTCCCCAGGCTGCTCCAGGTGCTGCGAGGGCGAGGCGTGCTCCCTACTCCCCCCACGGCAGCCTGAAGAAACGGAGAGGAGGGAGGGCAGCAGGGGTGGGGTGCAGTTTGGTGCCCTTGAGGGCCGGCGTGCCCTAGGCACGCCCCTAGTACACCTAGCGGGCGAGCCGGCCCTGTGTGCAAGCATACTTCTTGGGAGGGAGGGAGAGGGTGGGTGGATTCTTCTGACAGGCACAATCTACACTGAGGAAATTATTTTGGCTTATTCTGAAAAGTTGTGTGTTTTTAAAATGATTGGACCTTTGAAATCCCTTTGTCAGAGCATTGCTACTCTTAGGTCAGCAATTGAATGTTCTGGTTTCTAATGTCAGACTTATATCCATTTATTCACTGCATCTTCATGGACTGAATCCTCCTGGATAGAATTGACACCTAGGTTTCCTGTCTCATTACTAATGCTGATATCTCCACGCCCACTTCCCTTCAGTATATCACACCTAATCCAATCATGACTGGTATTGCCATTGGGCATCTGAAATCATCTTTATAAAGTTTACTAGGAGGAAGGGCCGATGCGGCCTGAAATGCAACAAGCTTCTAGAAGAGGGCCTGGGTGAGCGTGGCGTCGTGGAGGACCTGTGCTCCCCCCACCCGGAGGCCCAGCCGAGCACGAGGTGGCCTGTGGCCCCTGACCTACCTGGAGCCATGGAGGAGCGTGGGGCCGGGTGTGTGTGCCGGTCCCCACCGGGAGCCACAGGCAGTCGGCAGTGGGACAGAAGGCCACACAGAGGCCGCACCACCGGCACAGCTGGCCCATGGCCCCTTACCGATGTGGAGTGAGAGAGGGGTGAAGGAGCCCGGATCCGGACAAAGCAGCAGAGGCTGGCATCAGGGAAGCAGGCGGCGTGCTGTGGAGGCAGGAAGAGCCACCAGACCAGGGGAGAAGGAGGCAAAAAGGTGGGCGCCAGGTGAGCAAGCCCTCTCGGCCACCAGAGCACACGCCGCCCCCGTCGCCTCGCAGCTTACTGAGGTGGAAAGGCTGGGCAGCGGTTCTGTTGGAGGGTAGGGGGGACGTTGACAACACATGGGCATGCAGCCACCAATAGATGGCGAGACCTTGGCAATGCAGCCACCAATGGATGGTGAGACCTTGTGATCGACAGGTCTCCTGGCCAATGGCTGAGGAAGTGCATTTACTGTGGCCACCCCAAATTGCTATTATATATAAGGAAGGATATCTCTGGTACCTCGTGTTAACATTTTATGGTACGCATGGCCTGGCCCAACAAAGTGACATTTATATCATATTTGGCCCTCATAACAAATGAGTTCGACACTTCCGCTCTAAGCTGATCCTGCATTAAGCAGGGGGTTGGACTAGATGGCCTGTATGGCCCCTTCCAGCTCTGTGATTCTATGTCCTCTCCTCACGGTGGCAAGAAGAGAACTGAGGGAGAATTAATCTTTTCAATTTACAGGTTCATATAAGGATATTTTCTTGAGACTCGGGCTGACTTATGTAGCCTGTATCAATTAAAAAATGCAATCTTTTAGTTTGCTTACATGATCATTCTAATATGCTTCTCAAAATATGCTATATTAATAAGTACAGAAAGCCATTTTGTAATAGTTTTTACAATGAAAAATTAGAGAGCTACCAAGTAATTGCAAGACACAGAAGGTACCATACTGTTTCTGCTCCCTAGGGAAGGATGCCACTCCCCATTCTGAATGTTCATTATCATCTTTCAAACCCACCTAATAAATTTATTGAAAACACCATCTGGAAGGGACTTTGCTCTGTGCTTTATTTTCAGTCTTTTGGTTCTCTTCTTTTTTTCCCTGTGGAATTTCTGTCTCAATTTGTGCTACTTTGTTTACAAAATTATACTGCCAAAACCAACAGTTTTGTTTCTGTAATTTTTCGTGGCTTAATAGTTGGCTACTTGAAGGACAGAGGGGGAAAAAACCTAAGTTATATATTCTGCAAGAGAAAAGAAGAAGAATGGGATACTAGGACGGATATTACTTTCCCCCCATCTTTGTGCACACAATAGTTCAGCATAAATGTAATGTATTGTCCTAGAACACAAATCATGCATGCTAATGAAGTGTAGACATGCTGGAAGCAAGCAAAACTTAGGTGTGACTACGGCAAAATAGCAGGAGGAGGGGGGAAGTTGATTTGTATTTTACTCTTCCCCACTCTTATCCTGTAACAGGTTATGGCCAACAGATTGCCAATATATGAAATTCTGACACCATAAAATTTTTAAAAGGCAGTGTTATTTCCAGGATATGACCTGAAGACTATCTATATTAACTATATTTGCAGATAAGATGACATGTAATTTTACAGTCTTCAGTGGTACCTGATGACAAATGAGTAAAGGTAAACACTTCAGTCAGACATATGTCTTCCCATTGTATTTTCTCTCTTAGTTTCCTTCTTTTATGGCTACTTAAAAAAATCAGGAGGTGTTATAGGACTCAGGGCCACTTAGCACTATGTCTAATGTGAATGTACTTCCTCAGTACTTCTAATCATCCATATATTTGTACAGCATCAACTATAATAATTACTATTCCATATAAATTAAAAGTGTAGTAAGGGAAACACCAGTTTCACATTTGTGAGCCAAATTAGAAGTAATGGAAGCAACCACATTTGTTTATTCATGCTTTTGACTTGTTGACATGTAAAGCACAGAACTGGAGGTCTTATTTTAATGTGAAAAAGGATATGCAAGTGAGGGGAGTTTAACATCCATGCACCTCATTACTTCAGGCCCTTCTTCTACTGTCTACCACATTCCTGTTATCAGAGCCAGGCTGGGCAGACTGTGCTTGAGTTTAGAATGGAGAGGTAACATGGAGGA